ATAAGGATAGTTTTACTCAAATGAAACGGTCAAATGCTCATGAAGTGACTCTCAGAGCAGTTCTGGAGATGTTAATGTATTTATGTCCTCATTAGTGAGACAGCAGACGCTAATATCACCGGAAGGGTCACGCGCGCTTCAGTATGAGTAGTACACAAAACCGCGTGTCTGCGGCATTCGTTAACACACAGAATTCATATTTAAATAGTCGTTTTGCGGCTTAATGTTTACAAATACTAGTGGGAGTGTGCTCACCTGTGTGCGCGCATCGGGGCGGAACTCCGCTGTGCGTGATGCAGAGAGACAGAAATGACATGCCGTCGTGTAAATAAGATAAATAACATAAGGCTATTTAGTTTGTTTAATAAAAGAACAAGGTATAGACCTGTTCTATAGAAAAGGCAACTTTAAATTACTTCTGTTGTGATCTGGCGCTATATAGAGAAAATAAAAGTAACTTGACCTTCAAGGGGGGCGGGGCGCCCCCCAATATAATGGCAGGGGAAACACTGATAAAGTACTATATAAATAAACGTGACGTGACTGGACTTTACTGGAGTACTGAACTGCAGAGCTCGTGCAACATCCACATCGCTGTAATCAGATGCATTTTAAACTGCTGCTTTCTCACCGCTGTCAGTTTTTGATGTGTTTATTTTGTTATTGAGAGGAAAGCGCACAGTATATATTTACATATTCATCCAAACTGGGGAAGTTTGTGGCCTAATGGTTAGAGAGTCGGACTCATAACCCAAAGGTTGTGGGTTCGAGTCTCGTACCGGCAGGGATTGTAGGTGGGGGGAGTGAATGTACAGCGCTCTCTCCCACCTTCAATACCACAACTGAGGTGCCCTTGAGCAAGGCACCGAACCCCCAACTGCTCCCCGGGCACCGCAGCATAAATGGCTGCCCACTGCTCCGGGTGTGTGTTCACGGTGTGTGTGTGTTCACTGCTGTGTGTGTGCACTTTGGATGGGTAAATGCAGAGCACTAATTCCGAGTATGGGTCACCATACTTGGCCACATGTCACTTCACTTTCACTTTCACTTTCAAACGCCGCTCAGAAGCCTCGGGTTCGGCTGCGTTGCTCTGTCTGAAGCGCGGTGTCTTGTTCTCTTGAATTGCATCAGCTTCAGGAGAGCTGAATTACAGTCTTGCGCTACATCGCCACACTGGTCAAACCACGTTATTGCAGGCTCTTACATTAGGTCATATGAGATCAAACGATTACACGACAACAAAAATATTTGTCAACAATTTTTTATTGTTGACGTTGTCGATAATGTCGACTAATTGTTTCAGCCCTAGTTGTTGGGTAGTTTCTGATCAGTTATTTTTGTTGTAAGAAGCTTAAAGGGATAGCAAAATAAAGATTCTGTCGTAATTTTATCACCTTCATGTCATCCCAAACCTGTATGACTTGAATGAAAGTCACTGGGGCCCAATGTTGTTTGGATTCCAATGTACTTCAGAATGTTTTCTTTTGTGTTCTACAGAAGAAAGAAAGTCATACAGGTTTAGAACGACATGAGGTTGATAAATGATGAGAATATTTTCGCATTTAGGTGAACGATCCTTTTAAAATTAGATCTGGTCATGTTGTAGTAATATCCAGGAAAAAGGCTAAAAGATCATTTTTATCTGAAGTTTTGGAAAGACCCTTCCAATGTGACAGGGGTGGATGGTCATATTTTTCTTAAATGGTGGCCCATGAAAGTTTATTTAAAATGTAATCTTAAATAAAGTTGATTTACATGATAATATTTTTAATTGTCTTTGTGTTTTCGGTTAACATACCATCCGTTCTCCATAGCACACATAAGTATGGCCGGCTCTGCCAAAGTGCACATAAGGGAAGCGATTGGTCCCTGACCTTTCTGGAATTTTAAACCATTCCTGGGAAACAAAGTGCTCACTGTCCATCGGCATCCTGCATTAAAATGGATATCAACAGGGCTGGGCTATGTGTTCTGTGAGAGTGTTTTATGAGTTTACAAGACAGTGTGTGCGCCGGTTCTTCTCCGGTCTTGAGACTTTCATTTCCAGCCACACGCTTTTCTCTTAGGGCCACACAGTAGTTGGCCGGAAAGAAGGAGGGAACCTCAGGGTTTCTCAGAGTCTTTCTGACATGCCGACGCACTGGCCAGTGCAATTGTCAGGACACTTCAACCGTGCAACCAGTAGTGACTTGGCTGCCTTGCACCACAAATATAGGTCTACTTACTTAGCTAAAGCAGATTATGAGCTAAGATTTGTTGAAATATCAGATTTAAAAAAAGGTTTAATCTTTCTTATGCTAATTTGACACATTTTTGAGTGATACTAAGTGTACGGCACAAGGAAACAGACTATTCCCAGCTAGTTATTAAGTTTGCAACTTTGGTGGTCTGTTCTTGGACTTAGCATGATTGTATTTAGTATAATCGCTGTGTATTTGCAGTGTTTTAAAATTCAGACAAAATTGTGAATATATTGGTTATTCTAATAATTATCAAGAGTTCAGCATTCATTCCGTTTTAACTAAATCAGTAAAAAAAAAAAAAAATTTTTATGAATTGATTTCAGTTGCTTCATCACTTGCTTCATCAAATGTTTGGGGCTGAGTTTTAAATGTTTTTGAAAAAAATCTCTTATGCTCACCAAGGCTGCATTTATTTAATCAAAAATACAGTCAAAATTTAATATTGTATAATAGAAACAATTTCAAAGGAATAGTTCATCCCCCCCCCAAAAAAATCACAATTTACTCACCTTCATGTTGATACTTATTTGATACTTAATACTTCTGCAATAAAATATATATATCAACCCTCGACCGGTAAAATATAAAATATATATTTGTATAAATGTAAAAGAAAAACTAAAATTGTTATAAATTTACTAGAATGTGTACAATGTTAACACAATTTAAAATAACTATTTTAATATATATTTTAATATGTCATTTATTCCTGTGATGGCAAAGCTGAATTTTCAGCATCATTACTCCAGTCTTCAGTGTCACGTGATCATTCAGAAATTATTCTGATATGCTGATTTCTTATTTTCAGCATTGAAAACAATTGGAAAAATTGATCAATTTTATTCAGTTTAATGCATCCATGCTTAATAAAAGTATTAAATAATAATATTTTTTTCTACTGACCTCAGACTTTTAAAGGGTATTATTTATAGTCATATGTTATTTGGAGATGTTTTGATAAAACTTTTTTAAAATGAATTTCAAACTTTTGTTTGCTTTTTTCTTACTCTTAATTGAATTGAAAGTACAGGAGAGATTGGAAGTGATGGTGAGAACTTGGGGAGGACAGGATTGGGATATGTTACAAGTCTGACTTAAACTTATTTTGGCAAATAAGCACTACAGCTCAATATATTAGAGCTGTTTGATGGCATTCATGAGTTGTTCGCAAGCTTTATAACTTCTTGAAGTCAAAGTTCTTTTGATCCAGAGAGGAGCCACAGTACTCGGAAACAGTGAAGACCAATTCCTCATCAGGGAATGCTTAGTGGGGGAAAGGCCTCCACCCCCTCACTCCACATACGCTTCATTAAGTCGGCCAGGCCATGTGTGCTTTCAACACTCCCACTGCACAGACTTTAACTGCTTGTGTGTGTTGGAGAGAACAAGAGCAGATGTGCTGGCCCGCAGGTGTGCAGCAAAGGGAGGAAGTCTGGAGAGCTGGAGGCGCTTTGTTTTAACACCTAAAGTTTGAGCGTTTAGACCCAGGATGGGTGGGTTGGTGCATTAAGTGCTTGGATGTTCTCTCAGGGGTGGGTGTGTCAAATTTAAGACCGCTCGACCTCTCGCTCCGCAGTCTGTGCGTCCCACATGTTACAAGCTGTTCTCCACCCAATGCTCTCAATAAAGCCATAACACAGGCTTTGAAAGCTAGGCCGCATGAACCCAGCGTTCACACCTGTTACCAGACCCAAGAGTTCTCCATCTTAACTTCCTTTGACACGACTGTAAATATAATGGTTATTTTTGTGCTTTGGGTTACTTTTTTAATGATTATAGTTTGCTTACACTATAATTTTTACTTTTATTTGATTATTATTTACTTGAAATTAATTGAAAGTATATTTGAAAACAAGTTGGTCAAGTAAAAAAAACAAAACACTTCCATCCAAAAGTTTGGGGTTGGTAAGATACATTTTAATGAAATAAATGCAACCCCCTCTACATTGCGAGTAAATCACTCGCATATGTGACTAAATCTTACTCTGGGCGACTAAATAATATCTAACATTAGCCATTGGCTAATAAATTCTTAGATTTTACACGCCAGTATGTGTGTGAGAGGCGTTCAACACAGATTTTCACTCGATAAACACGCTGACTGAGCGCTTGAGAGTTTCGCTCTCCGTCAAGCGATCTGTACTATTTGGATGCACTCAATGGATCATGTCATGTACTCAATGGATATTATATTGCCAAGGTGTGCGTAGAGGGTTGGAATGCCTTTATTCAGCAAGGACACATTAAGCATTGATCAAAAGTAGTGACAGTAAAGACATTTATAATGTCACAAAAGATTTGTATTTCAAATAAATGCTGTTCTTTTAAACTCTCTATTCAAAGTATCCAGGAACAAAAAAATGTATTATAGTTTTCACAAAAGTACTAAATACTAGCACAACTGTTTTCAACGTTATATACGAAGGAATGTTTCTTGAGCAGCAAATCAGCATATTAGAATGATTTCTGAAGGATCATGGGACACTGAAGACTCGTGTAGTAAATAAATTAATTAAAATGTAAAATACATTAAAAGCGAAAACGGTTACACAATATTACTTTATTATTATTTTGACATCTGATAAAAACATTACAAAAATTGTCCCCAAACATCACGGTAATGTGTGTGTAAAATCATAATTTTTATTGGCCTGCTCTTTAGAAAGATTTCATTGCATCCTTTGCAGAGTATGGTGGTTTCAATTGCTCTCTTTTTCTCTCTATCCCTCTCTTTCTCTGTCTGTCTCTGACTCACAGCTCCCAACTAAAATGGGACAGCAGAGCACCCACACCAAAGTGAGTACAGAGCACAATAAAGAATGTTTGATCAACATCTCCAAGTACAAATTTGCCCTCGTCATCAACGGTCTGACCAACATACTCAAAAATGTGAACAACATGGTAAGTCCATGTCTATAACATTCAAGTTTCCCCATCTTGATAATTGAATTTTGAAATTCCAGTTACTCTGTTATATGAGTGAACTGCCTTGGCATTGCACAGATAAATTCAAGATGGCAGATAAATGTTTATTTAATTCAAGTCTGAAAATAAGTAAAGACTGAGAAACATGAACCATTTTACTAAATGTTTGTTTGTGTTGTGTTTTTATGCTTAGAGTGTTACACTGTTAGCTTAGGAACATGATCATATCATGCTCTATTGCAATCAACTGAGAGAAGTGTCTTCTAGTCTTGCTAATGCCACATTTCTGTATGTCTTTTGTTCATAGCGGATCTTCGGCGAAGCTGCCGAGAAGAACCTCTACCTCTCCCAGCTGATTATCCTGGACACACTGGAGAAGTGTCTGGCAGGGGTGAGCAGCTCGTCCTATCTCACAGTGTTGCTTGTTTTGACTGTCTTATGTCCTGCCTTTTAACAGCTTTGTTCCTTGCTGTGGTTTCACCTTTGTTGCTGAACGCAATGCAAAATTGCTTTACAATCACAATTGTTTCATTATTGCCTATCCACACCCTGATCTAAAAGATTACATATATTTTATTATAGATTTTTATAGATATTTAAAGTAATTTTTAGAAGAAAATCTAAAAGGTTTAGACTTTTTTTTAATCAATTTTTTTCTAATGTGATCCTGACCAATATTAGTCTGTTTCTTTTACTATGCTAGGCTGTAGAAATAAATTGAATGTGGTGAAACTGGAACTGCTTCATAGCAGCATGGTTATAGAAAATGAATCAACACCTTGGAATCTCAACTATCAAACAAACAGAATACATTTTTTAACCATGCCATGGTATAATAGAAACTAGCTGTACACTACCATTCAAAGGTTTGGGATCAGTAGAAATTTAAAAGTCACATTAACAGCATTTATAATGTTAGATAAAAGATTTCTATCTCAAGTAAATGTTGTTCTATTGAACTTTTTATTCATTAAAGCATCCTAAAAAAAAAAAAAAATGTCTACTGTTTCTACACAGTTTCTAATGTTTCTTAAGCAGAAAATCAGCATATTAGAATGATTTCTGAAGGATCATGTGACACTGAAGACTGGAGTAATGATGCTGAAAAATAAATTTTGTTATCACAAAAATAAGATATGTGACCCTGGACCAAAAATTGTTTTTTTAAAATTGAGATTTATACATCATCTGAAATCTGAGTAAATAAGCTTTCAATTGATGTATGGTTTGTTAGGATAGAACAATATTTGGCCGAGATACAACTATTAGAAAATCTGGAATCTGATGGTGCAAAAAATATTGTTGGCTATTGCTAGAAATATACCTGTGCTACTTATGACTGGTTTTGTGGTCCAGGGTCACGTATATTAAAATATAATTTTAATTAGGGCTGGGCAAGTTAACACGTTATCGCATTAATTAATTAATGCCGACAATTATTTTATCGCGCGTTAACTCAGTTTTTTATTATTATGAAAGTCCATTGCTCACTGGCTCTGAATACACATACAGACAAACCATGGGTCACAGGAGGGGTGGGATGGATGTCATCACACGTCTCAACCAATGAGAGCATTTGGGGTGGGCCTAAATGCGATTATGACTGCAGCAGTGCTCACATGAAGCGCCCATGACTTCATAAGTGGGAAATGGGACGCTACCGATAGCACGTGAATGCAGAAGAGAAGTGCTCTCGCTCAGCACAGTGGAGTGCATCGTTTTGTTAACTTTGTGGTTTATTATTTTGAGTCGTTTGGGACGCGGTAACACACACGGCCCTCTCACAATATATTGCTTTACAGATCTATCACTTTTGCTGCTCTGAAATGTTCACGCAATCATGCTGCATCAGAAGTTCAGCGCTCCTACACTACATGCGTGCCGTGCCTGAGCCCAACTGAACCGCGCTTTAGCCCACCTCCAACCGAGCCAGGGACTGCTAAACGAACCGCGCCCGAGCGCGGCACGGAGCCATCACACTAGTCAAACGAACCGGGCTTTGGGGGTCAGACGTGCTCGGGCACGGTTAAGATTGCCTAGTGTGAGTACACCCTTATTCTCCCGCATCCCGCACACACGAGTCTCTACTCGGCCATCAAGGGTTGTCCCGTGCCGCACTCTGTTGCGTTGGGTCCCACGATAGTGCAGGTCTCTACTTGGAAGGTGCCTGTTATAATGTTATGATCGAGGCTCTGGACTCAGTGAGCATAACTTGTTTTTCTATAACAAATTATAAAATATTTTTTATAAAAACGTTAATGCCCTGGCAGTGGCAAATAGCTTTGGTTTTATATTTAATTTGATTACATTAATGTTATAAGTTGAGATTTACAATAAATATTTTAACTGCTACTATGTAAAAGGAATACTGCTGTAAAAAAAGCACCTTATTTGTTTAAAGTGTTTGCAAACCAAATGTTATTGCACTTTTGTTCATATAGCAGTACTTTTAAATGGAAAAAGTGCACAATACACTACTTTTGAATTCATTATTGAATTTTGTGCATAACAATGCAATTAATCGCAGAAAATCATGTGATTAATCGCGATTAAATATTTTAATCGTTGCCCAGCACTAATTGTAATATATATAAAAAAATAGAAAACAGTTGTTTAAAATAATAATAATATTTAACAATAATAAAGTTTTCTTTGTAAAACATAAAAAAAAATCTTGTCGACCCCAAACTTTTGAATGGTAGTGTGAAATGACTGTAACATGAGTTTGAATGACTTTATAGGGACATCATAGGGACAGAGATAATTTTCTGGTCTCAAAAAGCAGAAACTGTCCAGAAATGTTTTTTGATTGCTCATGGACTCGTGAAGTCTTAGACACAGAGCCCTGGTAAAACAATTAAATCTTTAGCTTTTACTCCCAGACAGAGGGCTCTGAACTGGCCCTGTCAGGAGATTATTACATTTGCAGGTGTTTCCTCGTCTTGAGATTGTCTGGATTTTCCTGTATAGATTATTAATTTTCCCTTGCTCAGATGCTACACAGCTGTTCACTGTCCTGTTTTGTTTTTGCTAAATTCTTTTTATGTCATTTCCTTTGATGTAAGGGTATAACGTACAGTTTTCTTCCATGCTGTTCAGGATTTAATTTGTTCACTGAAATTCGAAGACATTCAAGACAACTAAACACTTTATTCATTAACTAGTTTTGGCAGTCAGGAATTTTTGCTCTGTAGTATAAAACTTCCCCTCTACCATTTGTTATACATTTCGGGCTTTTAGCTTGACCCAGTATGTGTGCAGTACATTGATCCACTAATGTGTTTGTTTGCTGCTGTGTCATTGGATTTCATTTTTGTTCTTTTCCCCCTTCCCTGCATGCTGCTGATCCTAAAGCGCTTTCTACTCGCTGTAGTTTTAGTCTGGTTTTTAGCTTACAACACGGTAGATGTTATTAAACTTTACAAGTACAGTTTTGTACAGCACACAGTATAAAAAAAAAGAGAGAATAGTAGGGGTTACCCCGAATAGTCGAAGATTCGATGCTTCGATAGGAGGAGCCTGATTCGACTACCAATCTCACAGTCAAATCATTCGAGTCATTCAAAAATAATTTTGTGCAGATAGCCTGTAAGTCGAAATATTAATATTATATTGTACAAATAACGAAGCGTATTCTATATGAGATAAATGACGAGTTAAATTCCATTGATTAAAAACCTGCTATCAAATGCTTAATTCTACTGGTCATCTTCAGCGCGCGCAGCTCAAAACAGAAAAGCAGAACATTAATAACTACTGTCATATACATAACGTTATAATGAGAGCACCGCTGAAATTTTTTTTTTTGTGAATTCTTAGGGTTTCGCTGACGTTTAATGTTAACTAACCTATCTTTTAATCAAAACATAAAACATTATTTTTGTATCTGCGAGGCATCCGTTACACATTTTCCCTGTGTGTTAACGTCAGTAATTATGACTGTCGAATGTCTGACTTGACTCTTGGTAATGTATTTTGCCCCCCGCCCCCAAACATATGATTCGACTATCGGCAAGATTCGAAAATTCCAATTCGACTATGAAAATCCTTAGTCGGGGACACCCCTAGAGAATAGTAATAACAAAGTATATTGTGTATTCGTGTATATCATCAGCAACCCAAGGACTGCCTGAGGCTGGATGAGGCCATGTTGGTAAAACAGTTGCTGCCTGAAATTTGTCACTTCCTGCACTCGTACCGTGAGGGCCAGCAGCACGCCGCTCAGCTGCGCAGTTCTGCCTCTGCCGTGCTCTTCTCTCTCAGCTGCACCAACTTCAATGCCGTCTTCAGTCGTATCTCCACCAGGTACCTCTCTAACATACTGGGGGTTCCACAGGGCTTTGTTCTAGGACCTCTTTCATTGTGTGAATCAGCCCCCTAAATACCCCATAGTAACTAATAAAAATAGCTTTATTTTAAACACCGTAAGCCTACTGTACGAGTGTAATTTATATAAATGCTGGGCTGTTTTTCTTGGTTGTCTACAAATTGAACAGTTAAAGGCTTTACAAATTATTAACTTTTAATGTAATGTCTCCTCATAGGTTGCAAGAGCTCACAGTTTGTACAGAGGACACAGTGGATGTCCATGACATTGAGCTCATCCAGTATATCAACGTAGACTGCTCCAAGTTAAAGAGACTCCTACAAGGTAAAGCATGCTCTATTTTATAGATATTTTATTGCCTCAGTTTTCAAAAAGTTTGAGGATGAATTTTATGGGTAGTCTAAAGCTGCATAATTAAAATCAGAATCAAAATATGGCACAGTGTATGTATTAAAGCACAAATGAATGCAAATAAATATATAGTGTTTCTATAATTTATAATAAATTAATTTATTAAATATATGGCGTGGAATTGCTTAATAACTTCCTGCATGTTCCCTTTAGAAACAGTACTTAAATTCAAATCTTTGAAAAAGCCGGCTCAGCTTGCAGTAATCAGCAGTTTGGAAAAGGTATGTGCTTTTTAAATAATACAATAGATTAGGATACTTTTTCTACCTTTAATAATTCTCATCTTATTAAAGGTTATAGGAGTAAATTTATTTGATATGTTTGTGTCAGGCTTTTTGGAACTGGGTTGAACACTACCCTGATGAGTTCACTATGCTCTATCAGAGACCCCATGCTGACATGGCCAGTGAGTGAGACAATAATTCATATCTAAGCTGACTTGTTTACTAAACTGCTTATTGAAGTCCAAGTTTAGATGTGTAACGATTAAACTGTGTGTTTCTGTGTATACAGACTGTGCAGAAAAACTGTTCGATCTGGTGGACAGTTTTGCAGAGAGTGCAAAGAGAAAGGCTGCTGTGTGGCCACTACAGATCATCCTCCTCATCCTCTGTCCAGAGATCACTCAGAGCATCACCAAAGAAGTAGGGGGGGAGGAAAAAGCTAACAAGGTCAGAGGTCACACAGGGAATTAGACTTCTATTACTGCATTTTATTTATCTCCTGTCATTTCCAAAGTCTTTTATGTTGAGCTTTGGAACCAAGACTTATTTTGTGCATACAAATGTTTTTGGAAACAAACCTAGCTGTTCTTTTGTCTTCAACAGAAGTCATTTGTGGACAGTTTACGGAAGGCTCTGGGACAGCACAGCGGCAGCAGACAGTTGACCGAGAGTGCGGCCGTCGCATGCGTCAAACTCTGCAAAGCCTGCACCTACATCAACTGGGAGGACAATTCCGTCATCTTTCTCCTAGTTCAGTCCATCGTCATGGACCTTAAGGTGAAGAGGACCATTTTTTGAGTAAACGATTACAGAGCAGTGCATGTCTGAAGGGAATGAAGAACATTTTGTTTCTGTTTCTAGCTGTGTGCAAATTTGCTCTCTCTTCTCTCTCAGGGTCTTCTGTTTAACCCTACTAAGCCATTCTCGAGGGGTGCGGGCTGCCAGAGCGCCGATGTGGATTTGATGATTGACTGCTTTGTGTCATGTTATCGCATCAATCCTCGTAACAACCAGCATTTTAAGGTAAGCTCGGTTGTTGAATCTTAGAGTTTCCAGCATTTTGCAAAGGACGTTATAGCAATTAATAAACAATCACTAACAAGAGATTTAATATTACTATCACAGCGTATTGAGCTAGTCAACATTCATTTTAGGACAAACTTAAAGGGGTCATATGATGTTGCTAAAAAGAACATTATTTTGTGTATTTGGTGTAATGAAATGTGTTTATGCGGTTTAAGGTTAAAAAAACACATTATTTTCCACATACTGTACATTATTGTTTCTCCTCTATGCCCCGCCTTTCTGAAACGCGTCAATTTTTACAAAGCTCATCGGTCTGAAAAGCAAGGTGTGCTCTCTCTTAAGTTTTATAAAGAATATCTCTTTGGATTTGAGAAAGAATATCTCTTTGGATTTGAGACTTTAGTCTTTGCAACTTTACAGATCTTCTTTATGCACCAATTGAAAAATTGAAATTGCATCATATGACCCCTTTAAGATCATTGCCATAACCAACATGTTCTAATATCTACACAGAGAGTTTTTGTTGTTGTTTAATAAATTTATTTCTTTTCTAGGTATTCCTGGCCTCGACTTCTCCTCCTACCTTCTATTTCGTCCTGGTCAACTCCCTGCACAAAATTATCACCAATGTAAGTATGATCTCTGTATGGACATTCACTCAGTGCAAAATTTTTTTTTAATATTATGCTAATTAAATGCTACTTTAAATAAATGATAAACCCATTATACAAATAGATGATCTCCAAATGTGTCAGCATTCTGCATGAGTATTGATGATTGTTCACAATAAAATGCATTTTGTGACCGCTGCCAGTGACTCTCTCTTTTATGATGCTTATAGGAGTGCAGTAATTTTGTAGTTTATTGCTTATTAATGTTTCACATTTATGTTCTTGATAGTCACACCTGGACTGGTGGCCGAAGATTGACGCCATCTACTGCTACTCAGGAGAACTGCGCACCATGTTTGCAGACACATTGGGCCGAGTGGTTCAGAGTCTCGGTGCCCATCCACCTCTGAGGATGACATCAGTGAGAACCATTATCATTTACACAGTTTATGGTGTATAGAAAAGCATTGGTCTTTGTTGTTAAAGTTGTTTTTTTTTTGTTGTTTTTTTTGCAGAGTCTGACATTCAAAGAGAAAATGACGACTAGTTTAAAGTTCAAGGAGAAGTCCACTGACCTTGACTCGCGTTCTCTGCTGCTGGCCCTGGTCAAACTCATCCACGCTGACCCCAAACTAATGCTGCATGTGAGTATTTGGTGGAAATAGGTATAAAATAGTAATTTAGCTTCTGTTAAAATTATGAGTTTCCTTTTTTATTAAAGTTATCTTAGAGTTGTCTCTGCATATTAGGCTAAGAAAAAGACTGGACATTTTTTTTTTCTTTTTTCAATGTCACCTTTGACCTCTTGCTCCTTTAATTCTCATAAAATGCTCTAATCCAACAGTGTTTGTGTTTTCTGATTGGTTCAAATCCTGTATTATCCAGATTAGGATTTACATGTGGATTTATTCATTTCTTTTCCCCTTTTTTGCCTAAAGAAGACGGTTCTTTTTCGCAGTCTTTCCTTAACATGATTTTATATGAACTGTGATTTGGCCTAAAATGGTTTAAATATCTAAGCTTAGCAGTAGACTTGTAGTTTAAGGATGATTCTGATCAGATTTGACTCCACTAGTTGCACTTTCTCACCATCAGAACCCAGGGAAACCAGGTCAAGAGATCCAGAACAGCACAGCTGAGCTCATCAAAGGTCTGGTCCAGCTGGTTCCTCTCAACCATAGTGCAGAGCTTTCACAGGAAGCCATGGAGGTAAGACTGTTTGTTTCTTTGAACCTCCTATTTGGTATTGTTAACCAAAAACTAAAACTTTAAAAGTTGTTTTTGTTAACTCAAATAAAGCCATAAAAAATACAATTTAAGTATTAAAGGGGTCATATGATGTTGCTAAAAAGAACATTATTTTGTGTATTTGGTGTAATGAAATGTGTTTATGCAGTTTAAGGTTCAAAAAACACATTATTTTCCACATACTGTACATTATTGTTTCTCCTCTATGCCCCGCCTTTCTGAAACGCGTCAATTTTTACAAAGCTCATTGTTCTGAAAAGCAAGGTGTGCTGTGATTGGACAGCTATCCAGGAGAAAGGAAAAATTTTAATCGCATCATATGACCCCTTTAAGTATACTACAATTACTAAAACAAAAATAAAAATATATATATTAAAGCTTAATAGGAATATTAACAACCTTATAAAAATGACGAAAGCACATAATAAAAAAAATTAAAATGCGTACTTAACAGTATATGGATGATACTATAACACTACTACTTTGAATTCTTGTATTTGTGCATCTCATTTACTCATTCTTGTATTCTCACCCAGGCACTGTTGGTGTTACATCAACCAGAAACTATTGAGCTGTGGAACCCTGACGCACCCATTGAGACCTTCTGGGACATCAGGTGGGTATAAAGAGATTGGTTGATGTGAAGTTGGCGAGTGGAAAGATTATCTGACTATATTCTCCTTACTCCCCTCTCAGCTCCCAGGTCTTATTTCTGAACTGCAAGAAGCTGATTGGACATCAGATGATCAACAGTACAGAGATACTGAAGTGGCTCCGGGAGATTCTCATATGTAGAAACAAGTTTCTCTTAAAGAACAAGGTAAACATAAATTCTGTCTAAACATGAACTTGAAATTTAATCCACTCAAAGAAAATGCACTCATTCATGTCTCATTGTTCTGCAGGAATGTGCCACACAGGGCAGTCTCATCCCCATCAGCAGACAGGCTCAGACCAAGCTGGAAGTGTGTCTCTACACCTTCCTGTGGAGCCCTGACGCAGAGGCTGTGTTGGTGGCCATGTCCTGCTTCCGGCATCTCTGTGAGGAGGCGGACATCCGCTGCAATGTGGACGAGCTGCCAGTGCACACGGTCCTGCCCAACTACAACACCTTTATTGAGCTCGCCTCTGTCAGCAATATGATGGCTACAGGTTAGTAGTACAACAGTCTCCGTGACATAGGATTAGACTGGCAGCTTTAAGCTTTAGGGACACTGTATTTTTTTTGTGCACGAGTGCACTTCAGCTAGCACTGAAGT